AAGGTCCAATCATCCCTCACAGCTGACATTGCACCAAAGCCTTTGTTGGGACTCGCGGGTCACCCCGTACCTCCACAACATCGGACTTTATATATGAAAAGATCTTTTATTGGAATCCATTAAAAGGTGAATAAAAGAGATTGAAGTATGTTCAGCCCCGCCCCCCAGCAATGACCCCCTCATGTAGATCGCATGTGACTGAGAAAGCTCTCAATGTCAGTCGGTTATTGAAGCGGTTCTGGGCACTTAATGCCTTTTCGAGGACTTCTTCAGGAGAACGAGGAGGACTGTAGACCTATAACATAAGTGTGGGGTCATCCTCCGATCCCGACATCCAGCGTCATCTGACCCTCAAGACTTTCATAGAACCAACGTGGATGGTGGGATCAGCCACATGACGCCTCGAACGTCCCATCCTTGTGTGTGTGCCGCTCCTCGGGGGGGGGTTCCTCCCTGGTCCGGGACTGGAGGACACAAGGACAGCCCGATTGATGTTTTATGTGGCTTCTCCAGTGGCCTCCTCCTTCTTGTGTGCTGATTGGACAATGAACCTCCCCCCCCTGCTGAGGTCGTCCCTCTTGTCTGCTCCACGTTCAGCTGAGCTCCCTGTACGGATGTTCTGGTGTTTCTGCAGACACGAGGCCGGTCCCTGATATCTGCAGGACGTAGTTGGGGTCGGGGGCGAGACCTGTCTGCACCTTATTAGGATTTGCAGGCGTACAGGGGGGGCTGCGGTGCCACATTTTCGATAACGATATATGACGGCGTGCCTAGTTGACGGTCTCATCCGGTTAGTTTTGTGCATTGTTCCTTTTTTATTTCCCAGATCCGTGTCGTCTCTGCACATGTAAAGGGATGCATGTAGCGCCAGCAGTTTGCACGGCGCTGTACGGGGAGGCCGCGCAGTCACAATGCTCATTCTGGGTGTACGCTAAAGTTCTGATCCATTAACACGAGCAGCCGCGTGTTCCCGCCGCCCGGGTATTGGTGGTGCGTTTTTGTGGAGGGGCCCCAGGCGTTGTGTCCTGCACTCGGTCCCTGTTATGGGTTAATTTCCGGGAGTTCTGACTCTCCTCTCCTTTTCCTTCCCGCAGATAATCTCCGGCGCTGGGAGGACTCCTTCGCTTTGCCTTCGTTTAGTCCGCTTTGTAAGTATATCTGTATGTTGTGTGCAGGTGTTTGGATGGTTTCTTCCGTCAGACAGTCCAGGGGAATCATAACTACTAATCGGGGGGCTGGAGACGTCACCCCGGAGCTGGCTGTCAATCATCTCTCCCAACTCTGACATACATTGGGGAGAGCTTACTAAGACTGGAGTAGAGAGAAGCTGATTGGTTGCCATGGTCAGCTGA